AAAAAAAAAAAGCACGTGCAAAAAACATACCCACAAAATTTTTAAAACAAATATTCTCACTGAAGCTGCCTCTCACTGCCACCACTGCCATTGCCACCTACAGATGTTCCTGAGCAGTTGGAAGTTCCTTGTCTCATCTAATACTTTAGTGGTTAGGGTCTTTGAAAAAATATATATACATTAGATGAGAATATAGGGAAATAGTAATCTATGACTAAAGATATTTGTCCAATCTGAATTTTTTGTTTGTGTGTTTGTTTGCAGAGAATGGCAAATCCGTTCATTGGAAGCTGGGAGCCGATAAGGAAGTCTGGGTGTGGGTGATGGGCGAACACCATCTAGATAAACCCTATGATGTGCTCTGTGATGAAATTATTGCTGAGAGGGCCCGGCTGAAAGCAGAACAGGAGGCAGAAGAGCTCAGGTATGCGATCTGCAAACGAACCAGAGACTTAAAGACCCTCCAGACGTTAGAAAACGTTGCAAACACGCCCCTTGTTCCCAGTATCTGGTGGGAGAGTGGGGTTGGGTTGGAGGGTCACGAAAGTCATTTTGGATCTCTTTGGAAGGTTGACTTAGGCTTTTGGTCTAAAGACCTTTTGGATCTCTTTAGAAGGTTGATTTAGGCTTTTGGTCTCAAGTCTTTGATAGCACTAAAGACCTCATGAAAGTCTTTAGTGCTGTCAAATCAGCTGCTTCCTCTCCCTGCTTGACATTCCAGTTTTGATCTGTATGAGTGTGTGAGTTCCCCAGTGAACACCTGTGGCTGCACTAGAGTCATGTGAGAGCAGTGCAGGCCGACACAGCTGAGTATCTGGAACATATGTGAGAAATGCAGTGACTGTGCAAGCTTCAGGTCTTTCAAGGAGATCACTCAGATACAGGCGGCTGGATAATCAGGCTCTTTAGGTGCCTACACAGTGCAAGGTACTGGGAATTCAAAGAGAAACAGGGAGCTTCCAGTCTAGGAGGAGAAGTAGACAGATGCACAGCTCACTACGGCCAGTGCAGGCTGTGATTTGGATATAATGAAGGTATACACAGAGTTTACCAAGCATAGGTGGGAACCTATCATTCCGATCCACAGACGAGGTGAAATCTGAACCAAACCTTGAAAGGAGTGGTTTTCCAGCTACAGAAGGCCAAGAAGGAAAGTGCAGGCAGAGGGCTTAACCAAGGCCCCTAGACTTGACTATGGATGGTTCTTTGGGGAATGATGAGGTCTTCTGAGCATTTGAAATACACTTGGGCAGCTGCTTCAGAGGCCAGATTTGGGAGTTTGGACCTTATTCTGTGGACAGTGAGGTTTTTCAATAGAGAAGTGATATCAACCGCAGATGTAGGAAGGTAACTCGGAGGGAAACTGAGGCAGGTGATGGCACTCCTCTGCTGGGTAGCTGGGGTGCTCTGGGTGTCCTCCTCTGGCTCTGGGCAGTGATGTTGACAGCATTACTCTGAGATGCTGAAGTGGAAATTGGGACAGACATGAGGACCACAGTTTAGTTCCCAAGGGCTAGGGATGCAAAGCAGAGTCTGTGGCACAATGGATGGTGCATTGGACTTTCAAGGGCTGGGATGCTGCCCACTAGTGCCTGTAACTTTAAAACTATCAATGGACATATGAAGATAAAGGAATTATTTAATGATCGATTGGAAGGAGATGGTGTGTTCTAATAGGTTAACTTGTAAACCAGGAGTTGGGCAGACCAGGATGCAGATTTTGGCTGTACCACTATGTGGTCTTGGGTGAATTACAAAATTTCTTGGAGCTCTTATAACAAAGTGAGGATGACAATGCCTTCCTCATAGGGTTATGATGAGGATGAAGTTAACGTCTTTACACTGAGGGAAACTGAGGCAGGTGATGGCACAGGGCCCAGCATGTTAGAAGCACTCAGTAAGTGGTGTCTGTTACTGGTTTTCACGTAATTTGAATGTCGACATCTGCTTTGGAAAAGCTCTTCCTGTTGAAGAATGGTTTTTGAGAATGTTACTTTTGTCTCTCTTCAGAAAAACTCACTCTGAAGAATTCACCAATAGCTTGAAAACAAAATCACAGTACCATGATCTGCAGCCTCCAGATAACCAGCAGACTAAAGACATCTGCAAGACAGTGACAGAGAAGGAGGAATTGGAGCAAGGATCTAGCCCATCCCCAACCCTGGAGGACGAGAAAATCCGAGTGAGTCCTTCCTGTCTGTAGGTGTGCGGAATTTCATCATGGGGGAGAAAAAGCTATTGAGGACACTGAGACCACTGTGGCTGAGTGTCAGGATCCTCCACTGGCTTTCTTGGGAGAAATTCCTCCTAACTTTAAGGTCCTCTTGCTCATGTCCCTTGGGGGATTTACCTTCCCTGCTACTTCGTGAAAAATAAAGCAACCCTATTTCGTGAGACTGAAAGTACCAGGCGAGAACGCTAGGAATGCAACTTGGCATTTTAAGATATTTTCAGGTTCTCCCCATTGCTGCCCCATTATATGTCTTCTGTTACAGCAGAGGTTGGCAAACATTTTCTGTAAAGTGCAACATAATAAATGGTTTAGGCTTTATGGGCCATGCCCTCTTTCTCACAGCTATACACAAATGAATGATCATGGCTGTGTTCCAATAAAACTTTATTTTCAAGGACAGGCAGAGGGGCAGATCTGGCCTGTTCACGATGTAGATTACTTTCTACCGAGTCTCCACCTTTTTGTTGCCGACTCTAAGTATCAGTGCTCGTTTGGCTTCACTGGCTCTGCCTGTGACTGTGGGGACAGTTACTTCCCCAACATAATGAAATTTTATACTCAGAATTGGAATGAATTCTCTTATGGTTCAGGTGGTTTAAAAAACTCAAACATAATTTGCTGGTTGGATTATAGTTTGGGAGAACAATAAAACTATATTATGAAGTACCTTATTCTGCCAGGAATTTAATTACAACTGAGAATTAACAGGGATTTACAGTTGTTTGATTTCCATTCGTGTCTCCAGCCCTGCAGCACTGGTTGTGTGTGCTTTTGACTTCTTTGAGGCTATCAAATGGGAATACAGATATCTCCTGCTTCCTTCTAGGGCCTAGTGAGACTCTGATAACTAACACGGTCAGGGGGTTATTCCACAGCAAAGCACACTGCTGAGTGTCTCATGTGATCCTTACAATAACATGAACTAGAGACATTTGTCCATTTTACAGCTGGGGAAACTGAGGCTAGGTGTGGTTGAGCAACCTGCCCAAGGTCTTATTCCAACCCAGGTCTGCAGGACCCCCAGGCTATTCCTTAAATAGTAACTATTAACTCCTTAACTCTTAACTCTCGTATTTGGTTGTGTCGTTAATATGAGGGCTATGAAGAAGCTTTTTATGAAGGGCTACAAATATGAGGCTCAAAATATTTAAGAAGAAAAAATTCTAAATTTGGTTTTTCCTCTCAGGATCAGCCCTGGGCATGCTTCCCACATCCTCAGTGAGGCCTCCATGCCTCCCCAGGCGTGCTTTGCACTCAGCATGCGTAACACCAGACTCCCCCAGCGCGGCTCCCTTTCCCATACCCATAAAACCAAGAACAATAGCAACAACAAGAAAGCTCCTTCCAGAGTATTAATTATGGAGCTGAGTGTGATTGCTCACATTTGTAATCTCAGTGCTTTTGGAGGCCGAGGCAGGAGGATCCCTTTTGAGGCCAGGAGTTCCAGACAAGCATGGGCACGATCCTGTAGAGATAGTGAGACCCCCATCTCTACAAAAAATAAAATAAAAAGAGCCAAGCATGGTGGTTCATGCCTGTAGTCCTAGCAACTCAGGAGGCTGAGGCAGGAGGATCAATTTAGCCCAGGAATTTGAGGCTGCAGTGAGCTGTGATTATACCTCTGTACTGTAGCCTAGGCAACCAAGTGATACCCTGACTCTTAAAAAAAAAAAAAGTTTTAAGTATGTATGCTTATCTCTGTGCTTGAATTACAGTACTTTTTTAGATCTTTTTTTTCAAAAGTAGGACAGAAGATTAAAATGGAAATTAAAATAGATACCACAGTTATTATTCTTTAACCATCTCATAAATATTATATTGAGAGTGGCACTGTTCCATTCCTTAGGTGCCTGCTAAACTGTCATATGGAAGGAGATGGGGGCAGTGGAGAAAGAAACAATTAGATACAAGGAATACAGAAATAGATGGGTGACAGGTTTTTATATTTCTGCTTTTTATCTTTCCCCGTGTCAGAGAAGATGCTGTCAGGGGCTGCTGTGATATTTGCTGAAGTTCACTCTGACAGCGGGCCACGCAGCGAGGAAGCTGATCTTCACAGCTAGTGTGAGCATTTAAAGAGGTGTCTGCTACCTCTTAGACAATTGACTTGATGGTACATTTACATTTTTATTGTAAGTTCTGTATATGTCACTATAGTGGCCTGAATATTTATCCCCCAAAATTCATGTCCACCTAGAACCTCAGAATGTGAGCTTATTTGGAAATAGATCTTTGCAGATGTAATTAAAGTAAAGGATCTCAAGATGAGATTGCCCTGGATTTAGGGTGGACCCTAAATCCCACGACAGGTGTCCTTATAAGAGGAGAGCCAAGGGAAATGTGAGAGAGAGTGTACTAGTCTGTTTTCACGCTGCTGATAAAGATACACCCGAGATTGGGCAGTTGACAAAAGAAAGAGGCTTAATGGACTTACAGTTCCACGTAGCTGGGGAGGTCTCACAGTCACTATGGAAGGTGAAAGGCACGTCTAACATGGCAGCAGACAAGAGAAGAGAGCTTGTGCAGGGAAATTCCCCTTTATAAAACCATCAGATCTCATGAGACCCACTCACTATCACAAGAACACTGTGGGGAAGACCCGCCCCCATGATTCAACCACCTACCACCAGGTTCCTTCCACAATACATGGGAAATGTGGGAGTTGTAATTCAAGAGGAGATTTGGGTGGGGACACAACCAAACCCTATCAGACAGAAACACTGGAAAGAAGGCCAAGTGAAGAAAGAGGCAGAAAGTGGAGTTATGCTGCCACAAGATGGGAGCCACCAGGAGCTGGAAGAGGGAGCACAGCCCTGCCCAGCCTTGATTTCTGACTCTAGCCTCCAGAACTGTGAGAGCGTAAATATCTGTTGTTTTAAGCCACCAAGTTTATGGCCATTCCTTGCAGCAGCCCTGCATAGTGAATGCAGTTACTTCTCATTGACTTTCTGAGAAATGTTTCATTATGCTACCCTAATATTTAAATAGTTATTAAAATGGAGAAGCAACCATTTTAGAGAGACAGACCTGCTTTCTGGAAAACCAAAAAAAAAGTTGAATCCTGCATCCCTCACCTCCTCGTGCTGTAGCTTTTAGCTCTTGAGTTTCTCCCGCTATAAAAAGGGGATAAACCATCTATTTGTTAGGCAGAATAATGGCAAATATATCCACATTTAGATCTCTAGGACCCACGAACACGTTACTTTACGTGGAACAGGGGACTCTGCCTCTGGGACCGAGGTTAAGGACCTTGAGATGGAAGATTATCCTCAAATATCCAGGCAGGCCCAGCTAATCGCATGAGTCCTTAAAGCAGAGACTCTTTCCTGGTTGAGGTCAGAGGGAGATGTGGCTATAGGATAATGACAAGAGACATGTGATGTTCCTGGCTTTGATGATGGAGGAAGAGACCATGTATGAAACAAGGAACAGAAGCAGCTTCTAGAAGTTGGAAGAGGCAAGGAATCGGATTCTCCTTGAGTCTATGGAAGGCACGCAGCTCTGTTGACATCTTGATGTTGGCCTAGGGTTGGGTCTCTGACCTACCGAAATGTATCCTAATTTGTGTTGTTCAAAAGCCCTGAGTTTATTGTAATTTGTTACAGCAGCAATGGAAAACCAATACAATCTGGTAGGATTTTGTGATGAGTAAGTGAGGTATTGTATTAGTCAGGGTTCTCTAGAGGGACAGGACTGATAGGATAGACGTATATATGAAAGGGAGTTTATTAAGGAGTATTGACTCACACGATCACAAGGTAAAGTCCCACAACAGGCCATCTGCAAGCTGAGGAGCCAGGAAGCTGGTCCAAGTCCCCAAACCTCAAAAGTAGGGAAGCCAACAGTGCAGCCTTCAGTCTGCGACTGAAGGCCTTAGAGCCCCTGGCAAACCACCCGCATGCATCCAAGAGTCCAAAAGCTGAAGAACTTGGAGTTCGATGTTTGAGGGCAGGAAGCATCCAGCACAGGAGAAGGATGGAGGCTGGAAGACTCAGCAGGTCTAGCCCTTCCATGTTCCTCTTCCTGCTTTTATCCTAGCCATGCTGGCAGCTAATTAGATGGTACCCACCCAGATTGAGGGTGGGTCTGCCTTTCCCAGTCCACTGACTCAAATGTGAATCTCCTTTGGCAACACCCTCGCAGGCACACCCAGGAACAATACTTTGCATCCTTCAGTCCATCAAGTTGACACTCACTATTAACCATCACAGATATTAAATACTGAGCACTTATTTCAGTGCCTCCAAACACATATCAGATATTTAGTTAGCTCACTTTCCTCTTCCCTATACATTTTATTATTATTTTTTCTTTTTGAGGCAGGGTCTCACTCTCCCCCAAGGGTGGAGTGTAGTGGCGCAATCATAGCTCACTGCTGCCTTGAACTCCTGGGCTCAAGCAATACTCCCTCAGCCTCTCTAGTAGCTAGAACTACAGGCACAGGCCACCACCCCAAGCTAATTTTAACAATTATTTATAGTGATGGGATGTTGCTGTGTTGCCCAGGCTGGTCTTAAACTCCTGGTCTCAGGTGATCCTGCCATCTCAGCTGCCCAAAGTTCTGGGAGTACAGGTGTAAGCCACTGTGGCCGTCCCCTTTTCTTAGCTTAAATATATCGACACTGAGGAGAGGATCCCAAGGTTGACTGATTTACTCATAACATATTTTGAGTACCCAATAGGTGCTAAGTATTGAAGTTATGATACTGGAGTAAAACAGAATCACTGCTCTCATGACGTTTTAGTTGGGGAGGGAGAGAGACATCACATAATATATAATTTCAAACAGTAACAAGTGCTGTGACATGAGGGATAGGTTTCTCTTCACACCAATTACATTAGCACTTGGGCAGCTCCATGAAGCCAAGGATTGCTTTGCAGAGGACATGGCCCCTAGGGCTGGCAGTTCCAGCTGAGGAACAGTGTGGCAAAGGCTCCATAGCTGGTGG